GTTTATTGCCTTAACGACTGCTAAATGAAAATCTTGACATTATGTGCAAAGTTGACCTACATAACGATCCGTCTCAGACTCAGACAGTCCCGTGGGTCTTCAGTAGTGCACATCTGTGTCCACACACAGGACATCAGAGGAGGAGCGAGCTGCATTTCAGATCAATACTCAGAGCTACTCTCAAGAATCACAGACACATGAACACATGATCTAAACCCCTCCCTTCTGTGGCACAGGGGGTCAACACATAAATCAGGACAAAAGCAACTCTTGTGAAAAAGAACTCTTGTGCTTAATTATATTGAATGTACACCTATATTTCTAGTTCGAAACTATTACATTCAGTTTACAGAACAGTAAATTCTTCTAAAGTACATTCTTTTCATAATAAGTACTATTTTTAATAGTATGTTGAAAGTGTACTTCTTTTTCACAAGGCTCAATATCCAAACCAGAATGAGACATTCAGGCTTTTATTAAGCGTTTGCGTCACCAGGGCTTTTGAGGTTCAGTTTTTGAATGCATAGTGAATTGGCTGGGAGCGTCTACTCCATCCGTACACTAGCTGGATATTTACAAACCCGCACAATAAACACAGTCACTCAGAAAACTATTTACCACATTTGACAGCAATCTGGCAGAAATAAAATCTTTTGAAAGTCAATCATGTGCATCATCATGAAATAACTTGCCAGCTCAGAAGAAAAGGCAGAATAACTTCTTTCAGGAAAATTGGCAAGACTGAATAATTTGTTGTTAGCATTATTAGTCCATTGATAAGTGATGTATATAAGTGGCGCACAGAGTTTTGACTTTCTCTCCTTGTTTACAATACAAGGGTAAAAGTAGCGCTTTTGGAGATATGAGGTTTCTGCCCGACACACATATATACATATTCTGACATTTTAAAACTAAAACTAGACAAAAATGTACCTTAATATGTCTTACATTCAAGAATAAAAAATAAAAGCTTTTATTTCACACCAGTTGATAGCTGTTTCTTGGATGTGTAAAAATGTTCAGAATGTTCTAGTGCCCATGATTTTGGACTCCCAGCATGAGTGGGGGGGCAGAAGTGATTTCCTGCCCAGTGAGGCAGCACTACTAAATCATTCCCTGCCTGGAGAGATGACCTTACTTTCTGCAGTCTTACCTCCTGTTCACTTACACACCAGTGATCCCCCACACAAAACATCACCTCACATGCAGCTACAGCAACATCCCTGACCAGTACTGGACAGACGTCTACAGCCATGGCTTTACAGCCCAACTCACACGGGTCAGTGGAGAGCATCTGGGGGTTATAAAACACCTTCTGAAAGACTGTTTTCGGTGTTCCTCAATGTTGTCATGTGCAGAATGCATGGCTTTTGTGCTAGGAAATGTGTTGAATCATACAGCTAGAGCTTAGAAACCATAAACTGACTCCCAGCACAACATTCAAGATGGACTGATAAATATGATTTAAAGTCACCATGAAATGTGTGTAAATGGATCATTCTTATTCTGTTATGGCAGTATTCATTATAAATGTTTTATCCGTGCACACATCATTATTTTTTTTTTTCATTTATGTGCCCTGATAATCTTTAATCAAAAAAACGTCACCTCCCTCTTGGAGCAACATATTTTCTCTTCTCTGATGACGCGTTTACTGGCATGAGGACGGGACAACCTGTCATTCACATGAGCAAATCACAATGATACAACGATCCAATCCATTCCTGATGGACAGGAAAGTCCTGCACTAGATTTTTTCTTGTGCAAGAAGCAATAGTTCTCCGTCTCATATTAGGCAAAAAGGCACAATCAATCCAAACCGATACCATAGAAATGGTAATGAATCTACAAACTTGACACCAAGTAAAATATTACGTAACACCAAAAGAGACTTCTAGTGTTCTCGGTTTACTTGGGGTTAGTTTCTTAACAACCGCAACAGATGTCCAGAACAGTTTAATAAACCTGAATTTCTATCAAAGCAATGGAATTCCCACAAAGGATTAATCAGACAAAGAATTCCAATGAAACGGGAGGATGGGTGAAGAATTCGCACAACACTCCAAGGGGTGGGGCAGAATTACTCCATTCTCTAGATATGCGAAGCTCCCTAAAATGTTCAATCAGTATCGGAATGATTTGTAGGTTTTGTGCTGTTTAGACAGACATGAAAATAACTGGGTTGAATATCTTTTTTCCCTTTCAATAATAATGTTTTTTGGCTCAAAAGTCTTGACTTTAGTAATGCAATTTTGACCTCGGAAACTCAAAACTCTGAAAATAGCCAGATACGATTAAAATCAGCAAACTCAAACTCTTTATCAGTTTGCAGTTTCTTTAATTTGGCTCCAAGTTGCTCTGTACTTTAAATAATACTAGACCAAACATTAAGCCTGTTGCCAAACACATGCTTAATTTATAACCGGTTTTATATTTGTTTAAATGATTTCCTAGGAGACAGTCTTTGCATATGAGCTTGATGTCACACTTTCCACCTGTTTCAGATCGCATTTAATATAACAGACCACCAACATCCATCCTAACCCACCGGCTGCTACAGTGATACTCTATCTGAGGGCCAAAACAAACATAAGATGACAGCAGAGCAAAGAGGCCCATGCTAAAAAAATAGTTAATTTTATGTTGGGCACTTAAGGAAAGACGAGTCGAAACATATGACTATTTATTCAAGCATTTATCAAAGAAATAGCCCATTCCTAACAGTATTGTAAGCTAAGTAAGCACTGAATAATCTAAGGATATCTAAGTGGGGTTTTTCCTCACTCAAGACCTGGAAATGAATCATTGTGTGGCTCATTTGTCCACTTCTTATCACAGATAGTCCACTTCTGTTCTGGCAGATGAGAAAAAAATTCAAGACCTTCTATAGCCAGACTATTATATTACTATTACACCAGCCACTGACACAAACTATGATAACAACACAGCCAAGAAGAACAGTCTGGGGAAACAATTCAGGATTACTGTAGTAGATATTGTGAGAAAACATGTCTGGGGCTTCTAGATGACCGGAAATGCCTTAAAGTTACAGTAACATATCTGTGTTGAGCAATGAATGAGTCCCCACACTAGTGCTCGGAGAAACAAGGAATTAGACACAGATGTTTTGTTCATCACTTTTCCAGCAGTACACACCTAAATCAAGCATCTTTTAGCAACAACAACAGGAAATGTATCTTCTAAATCAACATGTACTGGATCATTCCCACCATCAATGACAAAAATAAATGGTTGAATCAGCCTGTGAATGACACATATCAAAAAGTCTAACAGAGAATCTAACTGGGGGAAATTCCCGATGAACCAAACCCATACAGAATGGGTGGAAGTGTATTACGTGGACTAATGGTCCCAAAAGGTGTAAAGAGAAACTGTAAAGAGATTCTACTGAAGTTATAGGGCAGTTCCCACATACTCATATTGAATGGGAGGGTTTTGCAGAGATCCCCATTTGGAGGAGAGAAAAAGCTAATGTTTCTGTCAGATAAAATGTCACCCCTGCTTTCTCGGGTTTCATATCCAAACTGGACGCTTTGTAATAAGATACTAGAGAACATACAGGGGTTACTGATAGAGCCTTACTGGTAAATACACTATGAAAAACCTATACCCCAGGGACAGCCATATAAAATAGAAAGGAAACACAGTCTTGTTTACTATAGTATGAACACACAGGGGGGAAAAGTTCTTGTTTTTGAAAGGAGAAGGGTTATTTTTGTTGCAAGTTTTTTGATAATCAACCCAACTAACAAAGATATGTTGCTATTCCCATTAGGATATAAAACGCTATTGTTTTCTGAATGTTTAAAATGTCCAGTTTGTTCTTGGTTATGTGATTGCTAGCGAAAAAATTAAGGGAATGTTTTATTCTATCATTTTGCAAACATTATGGGAACATAACTTTTAAATGTTCTCTGAACGTTCTGAAACAAGTAGTATGCACTGCAGTATTGTTTAAACAATGTTAGACGAACATCCAACTAAAATGTTACAAAAGAAATCCGTTCCATGAATGATGTATAAAAAAACTTTAAAAAAATGTTCTGTATAAGTCTGAAAAATGTTTGATCTTTGAGAGAACATTGTAGAATGTTAGCCAATGTTCCAAAGCTTTTTTTAATGTTATTTTAAACAATTAAAAATAATAATTTAAATGATAATAATATTTATGACATTAAAGCAAAGCTGTTTTGCAATCAAAATGGTCACAACTGCATTTGTTTTTGGATGTTTTTACTATTTTCTTTTTTTAGATCAATGGCTGATAAAAAGGCTGAATAATTAATGAAATAGATTAGGCCTAGGTACTTTAGTTTGACATTTATTGGTAAACAGGTAATAGCGATAATACTTAATAACCAATTGTGTAGAAAAGTGTGAATATTAGTGAAAAAGAGAGTGGTCAAACCAATTATTGATCTATATCTAATGGTAACTTATTTATGGTAACTACACTCTAAAAAAATATTTTCATGATTTGTTATCACAACTTTTTATCTTTTGTCAAATCAACTTGACAAATGACTAATGTGGTGAAGATAACATACTATTTTGAGTTTCCTTTTTATTAAACCAATCTTCTTCATTGTATTAACTCAGATTTTTAATTCCAACGAACTCAAAATTAAGGCAACCAGATAACTTGCTTTTTTAAGTTAAGCCAACATTTTTTTTTAAAGTGTAGTTTTGGCCAAAGTACAATGTTTACCGTAATAAAGTGTAGGCTAATAGTTTTTAAATGTCAAACTATTATAAATTAATATGGCATCTCCAATTAGTGTATCAAGCTTTCTTTTTGTTCCACTTTTTTATGACATTGGTAACTAACATCATGTCATTGTCACCAGAATTTTGTTGGAGTAACAAATACTGCGGTAACCATCTTTTTCCCCTGAATTACAAAAATTGCTGATAAGGAAATGAGCTTTCTCACTTTTTTTGCAAGGCAAACACTTGAAATAAGCTCAAGCTGGACTTACTTTCTTCTGTACTCGTCTCTCTCTCGCTTAACTTTGGCCAACACATTGTACAAGGCCCTGAGTTCAGGTGTTATGGTGTCAATCTGAACCCCGACACCGTCTGGATGAGTCCAAGACACTCCAGGCCCCTGGTGAGTCTCGAACCGTCCTCCGCATCGGGAGGTGTGTGAGAAACTCCAGATTTTACCGGGGAGTCTCGATTGACACAGTGCGTTTGAATAAGGCAGTTCGAGGTTCGTCTGGACCGCTTTATCCCGGGAAAACAGCAGTCGGTACCGGGATTGCTCCTGGGCGTGCTGCAGCTGGATCTCCAATAACTTATTTCTGCGCTCTAATTCGTGGACTTTGGAAAGGAAGCAACGGAAGCGGAGATTCAGTGTTTTTAACACATTAATGTTGGAGCCCAAATCGTTTCTCAACGCGCTGGTTGCCATGGCGCCGGACCCGCTCCCAGTCGCACACGCTTCATTCATACCGAGAGGAGCAGCGGATTCATTGAACAATATCGGGTTGAGAACCGGGTCTGGAAAACGACGAGGTAAATCCATCTTTATCCGTGAGCAATGTTTCTACGCATCAAACTGCAGATGCTGTAAAGCAGCATACGTCACCTCCATGCTCTCGGACGCAAGGTGCACTCCCTTTATCTAATACCACACAAGTAATAGGCCATACTCGCGCTTCTAGCGGCCGGATAAAGCGCAGTGACCGGTATACATTTTATGAACTCTCAGCTGCCCCCCTCCTACCATCCGCTGGTGATGAAATGGGCTGGTTATTGGTCTCAACTTGCCGTAGAGACTCAGCTAGGTTTCAGCCCAGTCTGAGAACAGCCGCACACCAACCGAAGGAAAACGGGAGGAGAGGAAGACATGTCTGTCTAATCCGCCCTCCAGTAACAGTCGCATACCGCGTCTTTAGGACACACCCTTTCAATTTACATATTACATGAGGGGCGTGGGCATATATACACACACACACCCCTAACCAGTAACATTTTAAAAGTATTTACATATTAAATATTTGGCGTCTGTTTAGAGTGTTCCTGTGATAAAAGAGAACTTTGTTTGTTTCTGATCTTGACAAATATGATACTGGGGTCATTCCTACAGCACTTTCTTTGAACTTTGTAAATTAAAATAAACAATTTAAGCAAATATTTCTATAAAATGGTAGAGAAAACTAAGACATATGCTATGATCATGCTTCAAAAATGTTCTTTTTTGATAACTTTTATAGCTTAAATATAAATTAATTAATACTCAGAGAATCCGTTGCTAATAGCTACTTGTGTCTTTGTGCTTTTCCTTTCCCACCAAAAGTATGTCACTTCCTAGAGGAAGGCTTTTATTAGTTAAAGGAATATAACAGGATGAAAGTAATATTGTCTTACATTGAGTTGATAACCAATGTAAAAAACATTTGAACATTAAAACATGTTTTGTTTTGATTTAAACCATGAAAGTAAAACCTCCACTCAAACCCAAGTAGTGAACAAATGCACCCCTACATTTTCTTAATGATGGTTTAAAGGTGCAGTAAGCGATTTGTTGAAAGTAGATCGGGCCGAGCACTAAAATACACTTGTAGCCAATCAGCTGTAAGGGGCGTATATACTCATTAGAGGGGAGGTGCCTGTGTTGCATAAGGCTTGTCCGACTTCATGCAGCTCTGCGCAGACCGATCGGCGGCTGACTTGAAGTAGTGCATGCCGGTCAGAAATGTTGTCCGACTTGAGACAGCGCCGACGCCACGTGACTGTGGCGTATGGTATCAAAGTACCGCAAGAGCGTTTCGAGAGCAGCCGGAGAACTCACCCAGCGCAGCTTCTCAAGAGTGGCTGGAAGAGCTCTGATGATGACACAGCTGTTTCACAATTGGCCGGATTCACCGCATGCATGGCAACGATCACGTGTGTTCCTTGTTTATTCTCACACCTTTAGTTCCGCTAAAGCTCACAAATCTGTTTTTATAACAGTAAACACTCTTTTTATGTAGTCGCGACTCACGATGTTAATATATTGTGTCATGTTTATCAAAATAAATCTAATTTAAAAAAAGTAAACCCCACTTCATTGATAGTATAGGCTTATGTTGAACTTTATTCATTTCTTGTACAAACAGACACTGTATTAAGCAGTACATAAAGTATTGAATGAAAATTTCTCTGAAACATCTGTGTATTTGGCAAATATTGCATTTATTCCACTTCAGCTGTGGTAAAGTATGCTAACGCAGCGCGAGAGTCACTACGGGAAGTAGAAAGTGTCCGACTTCACGTCTCCGTTTTCAGCTCCTCCCCACCTACACGCGGCAACTCGATCAGTTACATCCATAGACTGGTTACATCCAGCCGATGTCGAACACACATATGGTGTGTTTGTGAATTTGGGGGCGGGGCTATCATGATAGGGGTGTGTTTGTTTTTGGGGATTTCAAATATCAACAGCATTTTTTAGAAATCGCTTAGGCCTACATTTTAACTGAAACGATTTCCATTTTTATGTATTGTACTTAGTCATGTAGGTCTATATTACAACATATGGGACATAAAAAATGTATAGCAGGAATCGTCCAGAAGTAAAGAACCTTTCCTTTCTTGTTGCATTATATCTTAGATGCAGTGTTGTTATTGTTAACTAAAACGGTATCCATTAAAACTGCTTCTATTTCCTTTCACTCCAGACCGCCAGAGGCAGTGCTGAAAGCACTAGTGGAAAATCCCTTGCACTTGACCGAGAATCGATTAACAAAGTTGTCACCTCTTGACTCATGACGTGTCTTCAGCTATAATAACCACTTAACGCGCCAAATCGATCTCTTTCTCATTCTCGCCTGATTGATTCGAAGTGATGATATTTTGTGCAGCTTGCTGCTGAAGAGTTCTTCTGGATATATACGCAAGCTGTTTCGTCATTGTCATCACCTCAGATTACAGATTTTTAACAGCTGGACGCGTTCGCTATGCACGACGATCGCGAGTGACATTTTATAAGCATAACTCTTTGGAGAGGCTTCAATCTTCTGGTTGCCTGTAAGTTTGAATGCCTCAGTGAAGACATGCACTCGGAAGCCCTGGCTGCATTGGCTTGATAGCGTGTGTGCGTTTCTCGCTGTGCAGATCACCAACAAGTGACGGATTGACTGTCTTTTTGGATTTGAGGTGATCATCTTAAGCATGCAAGGTTGACCAGCTGTCTTCTGTGGTAAAGTTGTTTCTGCTTCTCCAGGCTAAAGCTCAACCTAATATGGAGATACAAGAGAAAGCTCTGCCTGAATCAGCTATCGCTTCGTCGCCAATGATGCAAACGGGACAGGAGTTAGATGTGATGTTAGTGGCTGCCTCTGACTTGCTATTTAAAGCTACTCCAGTGACGCCAGGTGCTGAGGAAAATTTTACCTCCAGATCAATAGTGTCATTCTGGTGGTGAGACAGTGTCTGAGAAGTCAGGTGGGTCATCTTTAGTTGTTGAATTACTGGAAGGAACATCAAAAGCAATGCTCGCCTGCATTAATCTGATGCACTGGTGCAGCACTCATTGTGTCTCCTGATGAGGCACTTCGCGAAAACGTGCGCTGCCCCAATGTTGAGTGTAGACGCACTGATGAGCTACTGTCACGTGCATACAATTCTATAGCAAGCCTTGGCCGTGTTTCTAATTCTTTGGCGCATATGCTTGTGGCCTTACACTCCTCTCTGAGTGAAGCTTCATCTGACCCATTAATGGTGGATCTAACTGAACTTGCATTACAGGCCATGGGTGTTTTCGCTAATCACTGTGGCACAGCTTTGGGCACTCTTGTACAAGCTTGACGGCAGGTATGGTTTGCCCAATCCTCCTTGCAAGTGGTATGTCGGAATAATTTGAGACAACTGCTGTTTGTACCTGGACGAGTTTTGGACCAGCTGGACAGGAAGGTTGGGACCAACGCGTGTCAGTGTCTGAAACTCGTTCGCGTCATGTGGGGACAGCCTCAGGATCCAGGTCCCCTCCGACAGCCTCTGGTGTCCGTTATCACAATGTAGGTGTATGACCTACGTATAGGCCTTCTCAACATTTCCAACATCGGTATCCACAAGCTCCTCCACACCCTAGACATGGTGGGATTCAGCCGCGTGGACTTCATTTTCAAGCACGACACCCAGACTCACAACGACGTCTCCCCACCTCTACAGAAAAGCGTTCACGGGACCACTGACGCGGAAGGGTCGACAGTGGGCTGTTTCATGGATAGTCACCTGGATCATTGGAGATCAATAAAAAAATACCCTGTCGACAGGGTACCGTATACAGTTTCGCTGTAAACCTTCTGTTCATACTGGGGTGAGAAGTACAATAGTTCACAATCCACACCAGTCAGAGGCACTTGCACACGAAGTTCAGATGTTGTTGCGCAAGGGTGCCATAGAACTAGTAGACCCCCAAGTTCATCCCGGGGGATTTTTTCCCATTTATTTTCTGGTTGCAAAGAAAGATGGCGGGTTTCGACCGATATTAGATCTAAGAAATCTGAATCGGTTTCTAAAGTTTTTGCCGTTGCTAATGCTATAAACAACCGATGTGTTACAGGCCGTTATGCCACAAGATTTAATAGATTTATAGACGTCTAATAGATTTAAGGACGTCTATTTTCATGTTCCAATTGTTCCAGAACACAGGCGATTCCTTCGATTTGCATTCATGGATCAAATATTTCAGTTCGGGGTTCTTCCATTTGGCCTAGCTCTGGCTCCAAGAGTTTTCTCAAAGTTTCACCAGGCAGCGTTGGAACCACTCCAGAGGTCTGGCATGAGAGTGTTGCCAAACCTGGATGACTGGCTTGTCTGTGCAGCATCACCCCAGCAAGCAGTGGATCAAGTACATCAAGGCGTCTACTCAGACCTCAGACAAATACAAGAAAATCAGAGTCACACATTGTTGTATGTGAGCCCTAGCACCTTGGTCACTGGAGTTTCTCGTCAGAGGAGTACCACCTGCACAGTGGAAGGTCATAAGGACGGATGCCAGTCTTCTTGGACGACTGCTTGGAGAGGGTCTCTGCTCACAGCGCACATCAATGTCCTAGAGTTGACAGCGTTGTTTCTTACACTTCTTCACTTTCAAACTGTTCTCAGGGGAAAACAATGTTTTGGTGTGCACAGACAACAAGGTGACTGTTTTTTTATATCAACCATCAGGGAGGCACAAGGTCACAGAGTGCGCTTCAGGTAGCTCACAACCTACTTATTTGGGCCCAGGTCAATCTTCTGTCCATCCAAGCAGTATATCTACCAGGCTGACTCAATCAGACCGCGGAGGCTCTGTCATGTGGCAGGGTGTCGCAGGGAGATTGGACTCTACACTCAGAAGTGGTGCTAATGATATGGAGGACGTATGGCGCAGCAGTCTCAGTCAGACGTCTCACTGCCCTCGTTGGTTTTCCCTGATGGATGAACCGGGATCTCTGGGTCTGGACGACTGGCCAGATGTGACACTATTTGCTTTCCCCCCGTTACCACTGATTTGGAGGACTCTTTGCAGAGTGCGCGACTGCGACTGCGACTGCGGCCACCGTCTGCTGTTAGTGGATCCTCATTGGCCTGCAAGGCCATGGTTTCAGACTGTTTTCACTGATAATAGGACCATCTTGTCGTCTGCCCAACAGACCAGACCTCTTGAGTCTGCTAGAAGGAAGAGTTTGGCACCCACATCCAGATCGGTTGAAACTGTGGGTGTGGCCATCGTGCCCACTAGAACTCTTAGAGTGTTCAGAGAGGGCCAGGCAGGGACACTGTTGAATGCACAAGCAGCATCCATGCGAAAGTTGTATGCTTGTAAATGGAAGATGTTCTCTGACTGGTGTTCTAGCCGTGATGTTGATCCATTACACTGCTCAGTTGGATGCATG